AAAGCCAAGACTAGTCCAGGCGTGGCCAAGTGAGCCTGGTGCGGCTCATCTTTTGTTTCCCCCTCTAATGTGCCTTGTAGCCGACTCTCTCGAGCCCTCCACCAACCACGAGCCCTCAACAACACCAGCCCTACTTCCCACCCTATCCGCCGACCCATCTTTTTGCTCGCAAGCCCTCGTCCTAGGCGTATTGTATCAGCGAGGGCGGAGCATTCGTATGACAATTTGCATAGTATCTCTCTTCACGAAGACAAACCAAAGGAAGTCGAGTCCTCCAATCGATTACAATCGATACGAGAGGAATCTGCCTGCATCTGTTCAAATCAAATGTGATCACAAAGGTAGAAAAGGAGCGGGCTATCTCACAGGGAAGAAAAAAGAAATATCATCATAAGGACTTACCCTGGATCTGTATCCGCCGGGAGTCCGTGTCTAAAGCGAATCTGAAGTGGCGTCGACCGTGGTTGGCGCTTGCAGCCCACGCTCTGCTCGGCCTACAGGGATCATAAACCCGGGGCTTGTTCTCACCGAAGAAGTTCAGCACCATTCTTCGACTTGTGATATCCTTCAAGGCACTACCACTTCTCACGGTAACATAGCATTGGCGGACGACCCACCGATTATCCAGACGCCGAGCCTTGTCCTTCATCATCGTCGCCTCTGCTGCAACTTGGCATGTCCTCTTCTCCCTTGTGCAAAGACATTCAAGCTCAGTCAATTTGCTGAGTGTGCTTCACTAAGCCCAACCCAAGCCGTGCCCAGCCCGTCAAGACAAGTTTCTTACTTTGCGGCTTCCACAGCGTACCCATCGGGGTGTCCATCGAGGTGTTCTCTACGACGAGTTCTGTCGCCTCCACCAACCTCGCAACTCTCACTCCTTCAGCGACCTCTCTTGCCGCCTGAGGAACTACCTCCATTGTCCTCCTGAGACTTTCTTCCCCTCCTGCCAGTGTGCACCCTCCCTGAATGCTTCGGATACTACACCACGATCTGACACCAAGGGAAAGCAACGATTGGGGGTAATAATTAAAGAGCTTAGTGCTGTAACTGGGCAAAATTCCCATACATAATACAGAAGAGGCTTTGTTATCTGAATCTCAGCCACTCTTTTACGGTACTTGCACCTTCTGCGTCGACGCACGCCAGCCATTCTTTATCGATCTTTAAAAAGTCTTGGGAGGAGTCTGTCACCCTACAATTACTGGCAGTACACAATCGCAGGGGCTTGGAGGAAGAGTAGGAGGCTTGGATCAGGGGCTCCCTGCACGATCGATTCACCATGGCGTGGCATCAGTTGGCAATCGACAAACCACATCTGGTTTATATTATCCTGGGTGGCTTTACTAGCATATTCATGCTATGTTCGCTGTTCATCAAGGAGAAGTTGTATATTGGCGAAGCCACGGTAGCCACCATTTGTGGTGTAATCTTCGGTCCTCATGCCGCTGATCTGATCAACCCCTTGAGCTGGGGAAACACGGATAAGATAACGCTGGAATTTTCTCGCATTGTACTGGTGGTCCAGTGTTTCGCGGTCGGTGTGGAATTGCCCAAGGCATACATGGAACGACACTGGAAATCTGTCACCTTTTTGCTTGTTCCGGTCATGACCTTTGGGTGGCTCATTACCAGTCTTTTCATTTGGTGGATGATCAAGCCTTTGTCATGGTTGGAATCCCTCGCGATAGCGGCATGCGTCACCGCCACAGACCCCGTCCTGGCGTCATCTGTGGTTGGTAAGGGCAAGTTCGCGAAGCGAGTGCCAAAACATCTTCGAGATGTTCTCTCTGCCGAATCGGGGTGCAACGACGGCATGGCGTTTCCATTCATCTACCTCTCGCTATATCTCTTACGCTATGATCTGTCTGGTCGTGAAGTTGTCTTCCACTGGACGTGCTATACGATTCTTTACGAATGCATTTTCGGCGCTTTCTACGGGGTCATGGTGGGTTACATTGGACGACACGCAATCAAAATGGCGGAACGAAAGGGCTTGATCGATCGTGAAAGCTTTTTGGTGTTCTACTTTGTTCTGGCTCTGTTTTGCGCTGGATCCGGTAGTCTTCTAGGCATGGACGATCTTCTGATCGGATTCGCGGCTGGAGTAGGATTTTCGAACGACGGCTGGTTCACCGAAAAGACGGAAGAGTCACACGTGTCCAACGTTATTGACTTGCTTATTAACTTGGCTTATTTCGTCTACTTTGGCACCATCATCCCGTGGGATCAGTACAACTCACCAGCTCACGGACTGGTCCCATGGAGGCTCGTTGTTATCGCCATCTTTGTCATTTTCTTCCGACGAATCCCGGCTATGATGTTGCTGAAACCGCTTATACCAGATGTCAAAACTTGGCGAGAAGCACTTTTTGCTGGCCATTTTGGTCCTATTGGAGTTGGTGCTATCTTCGCTGCGATCCTGGCTCGTGCCGAACTAGAGACAGATTCTACACAGCCTCTAGCCGTCCTTCCTCCACCCGGGACCAAGGACTACGATCTGATATATCTGGTGTGGCCCGTCGTCACCTTCTTGGTGATTTCCTCTATCCTTGTCCATGGGTCATCCATTGCGGTGTTCACTCTAGGCAAGCGTATCAATACTTTGACCATGACTCTATCATATACTCAAGACAACGAGAAGGGTTCGGCGTGGATGAACAGACTCCCGAGAATCACCTCGCAATCCAGGTCGATGTCACGTACATACAGCTCAGACTTTGACGTGGACGAGAAACTCGACGTACCGCCTGGACAATTGCCACCAATTGGCATTCCGAAACTCCACTTGAGAAGACAGCGTGAGGATGAATATGAGAAAAGGCCGGGATCCCGGTCTTCCAGTCTCGGACGCTCGCGCAGGAAAAGACGAAGTGGTGGTCAAGATCGGGTTGGTGGACCTATTAGTCAGAGCGCCATAATGCCACAAAGACGGTCAGAGGCTGTTCTAGCTCAGCAGGAGTCAGGCTCCGACACACTGTTTGAGAAGTCTGGAGAGCCTTCGCCAGAGAGTCGCCAGGATCAGCTTGCGCCGCATGAGACCTCCTCGGATGAACGTGACAGACTGGATGCAGAGGAAGAAGCAGAGGCCGAGGAACATGGAGGCCCTCGACCACCGTCCCCGGACAGGCCTGCAGATGTTGAGGTATACGAGGAAGGAGCTGACATTGTTGTCGAGGATGAGGAGGGTAATGTTGTCGACACTTTTGACACCAGCAAAATGACCGAGGACGAAAAGGTGCAAGGCATTGAAGAAGCAAGAAATCGCTTGGCCAAGGATGAAAGCGGCAATTTCGCCAAACACAAGCATCGCCCACACCCGAAGACGGAAGGCGAGGAGGTCGAGAAGGAGGCTGCAGAAGCTATCGCTCAGCCCCAGAAGAAGATGCGACAGAGGTTCGATCAATGGACGGGCTTTGCCAAACGCAAGCAAGACGACTCTGGTGCTCCTGGGCCATCTAAGAAACCCGAACGAAAACGAGGTCCTGCCCATGCCTATCAATTCGGTAACACGGTCATTGTCGAGGATGAAGACGGTGAAGTTATCAAAACTTACACGCTTGGACCGGAGGAGGTTGGTAACAATCGAGAGCAACAACTGAGAGATGGTCTGCGTCGGATGAGTACCTGGGTTGGGCTGGGCAAACAAGCAGGTGCGGCCGGGCCTTCCGGTGGGGTGCCTTCGAGTGGTGTCACGAATTTGCCTACGCAGGTAGATGGCGCCGAAGAGACGGCGCCGAGGTCAGACAAGCCAATGCCAAAAAACCGTCGTTCTTCAACATCTTCAGATGAAGATGATGGGTTAAGAATGATCATTTCGTCAACTGATCAATATGGTCTTACTGGGCAGAAGAAAGTCCGCAATGCGCCAGGTACGATTGCTCTTGGCTCTGGAAGGCGACTATCCACCAAGGATTTCATCAAGCAAATGCAACAATTGGACCCCAAAAACAAGATCAGAGAAGTCAATGAAAGTGATGCTCCTGAAGAAGTCAAACGCGAACTACGGCTAGCAGCCAATGAAGAAGCTTTCGGCGAGAGACCTCGACGTCTTCGAGCGGAGACTGCCACAAGCCAGAATCTGAGTGCTCATCGCCTGGAAGGTCGCAGAAGAGCCAAGAGTGATCTCCCCGCCCCGGAAGAGGACTACTTCAGCTCTCACCGACGTCCTAGGCCTGAACGTGCGATGACGGACGAACAGAAGAAGACCTTGCAGGAAGAGAGTGAGGAGGACGAGGAAGAATTCAATATCCCTACGCACAATGTCCGTTCGAGCATTGCTAAACACGGAGGTGGCCAGACCGCGGCAGATTTGCGCAGACGTCGATTGGCGAGGATCAAATCGGAAGATGAGGAGGATGAGGAAGATGAAAATGCCGCTGGTGAAGAGACTGCCGCCGAAAAGAGACGGCGTCTGGCTGCTTTGGGGTTGGGAGGTGGTGGCGATGACGATTCTAGTGAAAGTGACGAGGACGTGGAACCACGTCAAGCTGGCGCTGCTGTACAGGAACCGACGGCTTCTGGTCCCTCGAACCGACCTACTATTCAGTGGGGTGGCGAGCGTGGCAGAGAAAGGGAGAAGAAGGAGAAAGATCCTACTGACATTTACGCTGGTGATCCTATTGTCGGTGCTGCACGAAAGATCAGAGGCATGATGCACAAGAAAAGATCTTGAAGTACGGACTACCTCGGAAGAAATGTTTACTTCGTAAGGATTGGGAGTTTGATTATTCTAGCCCGTTATCTACTCGTACTCCATTTGAGTATGAACAATATGATGAATGCCTGTCAAGCTAGAGTCGTCGAAATTGTACATTGATGTTGTTATCGACGTGCTTGTTTCTCGCCGGGAGTCGCCTTACATAGGTAAGTGGATACAGAGGTATTTATTTACCTAGTAGGGCACTAACCAATGTCAGCTTTGATTTTCATCGGCACCGAAAAAGAATTGCAAGGCTCACATATCACAGTCCCCAAATTATCGCCCACAAATGCCGCATATCGGTTTTGTAGTGTAGCGGTTATCACTCCGGATTCTGAAAGAGTTTTTCGTCAAATTCAAAATGAGTTTTCCGGCAACCCCGGTTCGAATCCGGGCAAGACCTCATTACCTTTTTTCCTTTTTTTTCCCCGGGAGTGTGTCCGCGTGAGTACACTCTGCCCTTTTGCTCATTTCCTTGTGGAAAGTGAGCTTCTTTTTCCCCCCCGCTTTCTCTCTTTCGAATTTACAACTCTGTAGATTGAACATTGTAGTCAAATGAAATGTTTCATGAGATTCATCGAATACTTGGTGGTCGGGGAGTTGGGAAGTCATGACCTGAACCACGACGTGACTTTTCTACAAACACGTATAATCGTCGGGACAAGGACAAGCCCCGTTCAAGGCAATCCCTTACTTATCAAACCTTTACGCATACCCTTTTCATCGTCGTCCTCACTTTCTTCTTCATCGCTCTCCTCTTCTTCTTCTTCTTCTTCTTCTTCTTCTTCACCCGACTCCTCCTCACTTTCAGTACCTTCATCGGTTTCTTCCTCGGTCTCGTCGTCCTCATCGTCCTCCTCTTCTTCACTCTCGGCCAACCAGTCATCTAGTGTTCTAGGCTTCGATCCAGCCTGCTTGGTCGTTCCTGCGGCCACGACCTTTTCCAACCCCTGATCCCTGACGGCGGCGTCGAGTCTCTTGCTCGCGGCGACCGTGGCACTTGCCCCTCCTCTTGCCGACATGGGGACGTACTCATCCTTTTCAGTCAGGTCACCGACGTCACGAAGCTTCGGGTCCGGTTCGAGCCCTTCTTCCACCCACTTGGGAAGTTCTTCGTAGCCCGGAAGACCCAATACGCCGGCGACGTCCGTGCCCAAGACGAGCGTGGTGCTGCCGAGCACGAGGCCCTTGCGGCTTTCGGACGGCGATGGAGAATGAGGGACCGGCTTCGGCGCGAGGAGGAGAAGTGCGGCCAGTTGTATAGATTGTGGGTTGGAGAGGAGAGCCTTGAAAAGTCTTGCTCGATCCCGCAGGTCGTACGACGTGTCGTAGCGAGCGAGCAGGAGTATGTAGTTCCACACCTTCGATATTGCATGGTCCATGTAGGATGAGTCAATTGTCACGGACCTGTCGTTGTCGTGATTTTGTTCCTGGCCGTTGTCGTCGTTGTCGGTCGTGGCGGTCGGTACATGCTTTTGTAAAAAGAGCAGATAGACCTTGGCTGCGAGCAGAACAATCTGCTGTTTGGCGGCTTCACTCTCGTCGGTGAATCCTTTGACAAGTATACGCAAAACGTCCGGGGCGATGTTGTTGTCAGGATCGAGGCTTGCAAACTCCCCAACGAGCCAGATGATGGTGGCGCGGGCTTCGGGGCTCGCGGTCCGGTCCAGATTTCGCGCCAGACGGACAACGGTCTTTCTGTGTGATGTCGGGTCTTGCTGGATGAGGTGACGCATGACTGTCAGCACCTCCGAAACCAAAACATTGTCGAAGCTCGATATCTGATTGAGGAGGACTTTGAAACATCGGTGCGCATTCTTCGGGTCCACCTGTGCACAACGTCCGATTGCACGCACAGATTCGCGGATCATTTCGATATCGGAACTGTGAGAAAAATGCTCCAGCTCGCTCAAGATGATGGATTTGAGGTTCAACGCCGCATGTGGAAAGATAAGAGTCAGGAGCTCGATTTTGAGCTTCCAGATTTGTGGCGAGTCTCGGGCTCGCATTAAAAAATGTGACGAGTATGGGACGAATAGTTCTGGCGCTGACAAGCATACCAAGACGATGTTGCATAGCGCGACTTCTTCCACTTCTGGAGCCCCCCTCATGAGCCCGATGAGTGGTCCGACGGCTTCCTGTAGGTAATCTCTAGTTCCGAGGTAGAGGAACACACTCGCAACTGAGGTTGTCACCGCTGGACTTCGGCTCCGGAGGAGAGATTTACACCCGTCGAGGAAGAGCTTCAGGTCGGGGTCGAGAATCTCGACGATTTGGTCGGTTTCGACGGCTTCGTCTGGTTCGTCGTCGTAGAACCCCTTTTTGTTGACTCTGGGTACTTTTTCTGTTCTTTGAGGGAAACAACGGCGGCTGTAGAAAAGTAGGAGTCGTAGCGTAGCTAACTGACTCCATTCGTCCATGTCGACGAGTTTCTTCACCAGCCCACGGTAATGTTTGTGAATGAGGTCGGTTCGTTCCGGGCATATCTCAAGAAAAGCTTGGACAGCTGGTCCGACAACAAAGTACTGTTTGTCGCCAAGTAATGTAGACAGGTAGTCGAGTAATTGTGGTAGCGTGTTGGGGTCGAGGTTGTAGCATTTTGGAATGGCCAGGGCGGCTGCTTTGCGGACATGGGGGCTCATGTCTCCCGCGCCTCTCTTGATGGCGAGGGAAACTATCTGGCTAATCACTGGTACCCTCATACCTGACATGGTCCGTAAGGCCAGAGCCCTGACTTGGGGATTCTGATCAGTGAGAGATTTTTGGATGGCATTGACCGAAAGCAACGCCAGGTCCGGGTCTGATTCCGCATAATGTAGCAGATAGATGTAGACCAATTTCTTGACCTCCAAATTTGGGTTGGCAACGTTTTTGACGACAGACGAAAAGTATGGCAGACATGGTTTGTTCTGATATATCATCTGCCCAAACATTAGTCAAGGGATGTACAGTCGCCAACAGTGGAACGTACGGATATGACTCTTTTCAACCCATCGAGTATATCTCGATCGCTTCTGCTATCAAGAAGTGCCTTCAGTTTTGTGAAAGGTATGTTCCGTGAAGATGAGCTACCGCCTTTCAGAGCCTTGCTCATGGCCTGAGCAGCATCCACAGTCAAGTCTCTTGCTTGCGTGGGATCAGCGTACTGAAGCCAGGACGAATCCATGTTGACTCACCTGGGTCCATTAAGGACGAGATCCGGGATGTTGACTCCATGCTGGATGTCAGATTTTGCCTGTCACCGCCGTTATTCTTGTGTAACACAGCGATTCAGGTGGAAGCTGGCGTTCAATGAGATTCGACCATGATGTCGGCGAACCACACGGAGGCCAAGAATGGCTAAAACAGCAGCATAAGCCGCTCCATTGCGGAAACAAGGAGTTGCCGCTTAAGAGAGCTTTGTTGGCCCACAGCAACACCTTCTCTTCCTCTTGCAAACTACGATTTTAGTTCATTTTCTCTAATAATCACCATGCTTGTTCTGGATGGCGATGATACGAGATACTTGTCAGCGTACGGTGCCCAGCGCTTTTCACGACTCCATGACATCTGGCCCAATAGAACCAGCCAGCCTCGATATTGCGGAACACTCCGGCATTCGACGATACTGTACGCCGAAACCGAGAGTATGGAGTGCTTAGTTTAATAGCTACGCGGCATTCTGAATAGAATGCATCCTTCCGACAGGAAGACTAGGTATCCAGTCTCTCGAGATCGTGACTTTTCCGAGCCGACGAATCATCTTAGTCGTGATTTCAGGCCCCCAAAGTTTGTATACACTTGAAGTAGACTTCAATGGAGATCCCAGGGCAAATTGGGGGCTCAATTACGCGGTGTCTTCTTGACCTACTCGGTCAGCCACTACAATGGAATGTCCACGTTGGCTTTGATACCAGCTGCGGCAGCTTTGTCCATGCCCAGAATCTATCTATCATTAGGGCAACCCTGGATTGTGGTCGGTACAGGAGAGTTTGAGAACCACAACTACATAAACCACCTTCTACTCTCTGGAGGCAAGATTTTTCCTCCAGAAGCTTGAATCACTTATTCACTCTTTTGACCCGTTTGCACCATGAAGTCCTGCTTCTCAGCATTTATTACTGCACTCCTTTTGAACAGCGCTCCTGCCACCTCCATTCCCACCAAAGGGAAACCTGTCACTGTCAACTCGCCTCTGGATCCGAATGTCTCGCTATCGTACAAAGAGGTGGGTCTCTTGTCAAGGAATCGTGCGGGCTCAAACAAGCTCATATACTGCAGACAAACATCTGTGAAACGACTGCCGGCGTGAGATCATGGACTGGTTATGTGAATCTGCCCCTAGACCCAGCTGAAGGACGCGATTACCCAACACACACCTTCTTTTGGTTCTTCGAATCTCGAAAAGACCCTCGGAATGCACCCCTTTCGGTTTGGCTTCAAGGTGGTCCTGGCTCCCCATCTATCCCGGCAGCTATCGGCGAAAATGGGCCATGTTCAGTGACAGAGAACTCTGTTGATACTATCCTAAACCCTTGGTCGTGGACAAATGAAGTCAACATGCTCTACATTGACCAGCCTGTTTCGGTCGGGTTTTCCTACGACACACTCGTCAATGGAACAATCAATGAGTTCTCGTCACCCTTCAACGTGACAGCACATGGAAACACTGCGCTGAACGCCCTTGAAACCAACTCATCCGTCCTAGCAGGTACATTCTCTGCACAGGACTCACTTAGCACACCAAATACGACGGTGGCTGCTGCTCGTGTGGCCTGGCACTTTATGCAGATTTGGATGAAAGAGTAAGCATTGGTCAATCATGAACAGAGTCGAGCTGAATGTAAGTAGATTCCCGGCGCTCACACCAAAAGGCCACAGATTCAGCATGTGGGGTGAGAGCTTTGGAGGGCACTGGGTGCCAACCTTTGCCAATTTCTTCCTCTCTCAAAACCAGCTCCTCAAAGATGGAAAGCTCGATAGATCGGCTATCCCTCTACAGCTTGACACGATCGGTCTCGTCAATGCTTGTGTGGATATCGTTACACAGATGCCTTTCTATCCTGAAATGGCCTTCAACAACACATATGGCCCCGTCATCAACAGAACCGTGTATGAAGCTGCCGTAGCCAGCTGGCCAAGGTGTTGGAATCTCATTGAGGAGTGTCGTGCTATAGCACAAGAGCAGGATCCTATGCGCTATGGCAATAACACAGATGTCAACAAGGCCTGCGCTGGTGCTTATGCTACCTGCTTCGGGACAGTTTGGACAGACATGACTAAATACGGGGTAAGTACATTCAGGCACCTCCCGTGCAAGCATCCAATGCGTAGAAGCTGAGATTCCTTAGCGAGATACGTTTGACCTGACAGCGAAGGTGCCCAGTGCCTTTCCGCCCAAGTACGCTGCAGGCTATTTGAACA